AGATTTGTTAACTAAGAGATTTTGTCTAAAATAAAAATAAATGATATTGATCGATAGAGAATTTCACGCTCTATCATTTCATAGGAAAAGATTTTTTCCTACAGTCTATCTTCATCTCCAAAGCTTGGTTTTAGTGAGAATAGTCAGTAAAAAAAAAAAGTAAATTACCTCCAACAAACTCCCTCCCATTAGAATGTTTTATACACTGTTTGAAAGAGCACTCAAAACTGAACAACATACTATATTTGAAGTTCGAATATCAATGATTTTTCATGTCCACTTTATTGATATAGAGTTTTTGGAAACATAGTTAGCTTTTCTTTTTTTCATTATTTTGAAGGGAGAAAAATGCCGACTATTCTCACTAAAACCAAGTTTTGGAGATGAAGATAGATTATAGGGAAAAATCATTTTTATGAAATGATAGAGCATGAAATTCTCTATTGATTGATATCATTTATTTTTATTTTAGACAAAATCTCTTGGTTAACAAATCTGAAATATTGAAAAGTAACTAAACCTATTTTTGCAAGGAGGGATATTATTTTAATTATTTTCTAATCTATCTTAACAGACAGAGTCTCGTTCTTTGATGCATCATGTAGCTGGCCTCTCGTACTATCTATATCACCCTTTGAATCATATCCGTACTTCACAATATGAAAACAAAATACTGAAAAAAAGAATTGTAAAAAAAATACTGAAAAACTGATTTCGTTTAAATTTTTGTCGTGGACTGTACATCTTGCAACATCTACACATCTTGAAATTTTCATCCTCAAGAAAAAATTCCGGTTCTCGGCTCCATTTCTTTTTGGAATCGCTGGGCTCTAACAGACACGCATAGTCAAACGAACATCCACATTCTCAATAGAAAAGATCCTTCAACATTGCAGTGTTAAAAAAAAAAACAACCTATTTTCTATACTTAGGATTGGGATGATTGGATAAATTCCATATATGAAAAAAATCAATGGAAATCAACTAAACGATCATCTCCACTTATATGGCGTGAATTACTTGAACGTGGTGGTCGTGGTACATTAGTAGGTAATCTTGATGATTTTCAAGAATATGCACAATGTTATTATGGAACAATTCTTGATCATTTTATGACAAATTCATCAGCACTTTTTCGTTTAATTGCTGAAGAAAATATTCAACAATATACAAAAGATATTGAATTTAAAAATCAATATATTGAACAAACATTAAATCCATATTATGTTTGTATTATTGGTGCACATCATCCATGTGCATATGAATTATTTCCAAATTTATTTTCAACAGAATTATTTCCTAATCGTGATATATGTCTTCGATTAACAACAAATGATTCATCAAAATTATCATATTTACAAGGTATGGCAATGGAAATTGAAGATCTTGCATGTAAACAATTTTATAATATTGAAATTTCATTACAAAATAATGAAAAATTTTATAAAAATATGGATTTTATTATAATAATTGATGATTATTTTTTTGAAGAAAAACAAAAATATTTTAATACATTATTAAATGAAAAAATTAAATTAAATAAAACTTATGATGAAGCAAATTTATTTGATGATGAACGACCACCATTTCAACCAGAAAAAATGACATATGATTTAAAAAAAGCATTTAATTATTATCAAATACTTGCTAATCAAATTCAATCAAATATTAAAGCAACATGTCAAATTCTTATTGCTTGTTCAAATTCAACTATGATTGCAACACAAGCTTTTATAAAAACAATAAAATCTATTCCAACAAATAATATTCTTGGTCTTGCAAGAACAATTGAAAATCAAGCTAAAGCAAGAATTGGAAAAAAACTCAATGCTGATATTAAAAGTAAAGTTTTTTTTCTTTTCTCGTGTCTGACTATGAACAGAATCAACATCAGCAGTGCAATCAATAACATTAGGCCTATGTTTAGTAATGGTGTCATTCATAACGGATGGCAGAAAAAAAACACGAGCGGTGGAAGGCTTGTAGCCAAAACTGAACAAGTTTGGATAGAAAGGAAGGAGGGGTTACACACTATACATGAGCGGGACCAATCGCTATTGGTTCCGATGCCGGTCAGAAAAAAACTGATCCCGGTCTAGGTCCATGTTAGGGTTCGCCCTCACGAAGAGCAACGAACGTAGTTAAAGATGTACGTGTTCTCTTCTCTCTCTCTCTCTCTCTCTCTCTCTATTTATTCTTTGAGAAAACAAATGTTTATATGCGCGCACATGAAAAACGAGGACAAAATAGAAAAAGGATACAAAGATTACTTAAAGGCAGTATATGTTATGAGAATACACTGTAACAGTTTCTCTACCAGTGTCGATTCTTGTTCCGCCGAGATCGGAACTATCTTGCTCAAATCTATTCAGCAGACATGAGTCATAACAATACAACATTCGACGCAAGTCATACACAACCATAAAAGGTATCGTTTCCAAGGAAAAAGTGTTGGTCCCAATTTTGGGACCATCATCCCCATATCTAGGTCAAATACAAACGGAAGTCCTTTGTACATGGCTTCATTGGCTAAAATTTCTAGTATCTTTATATAATGTTCATTGTTTACTTAATAATTATGTGCACTTGGCAATAAACATAAGATATACCGGGTGAGACATAAGTTTTGCAACATTTTTTATTTCGCATATATCTTGTCGTAGGTAAATGATAAAAGCTTAGTTTTTTTAAAAATAGATGCGCCTTGAAAAGCTCTACAAGAATAATATAACAAATCCCTATTG